GTCTCTGTCCATCTGGTAGATTTGAGGTTATCTGGTTCACTACAGTCTTGAGGGGTCATGTATGGAAGTTTGCCCATCCAGTCTACATGTGCTTTGTGGGCTTGAGAAGGCTTTCGACCGTGTTCCTCGAGGTAAAATGTCGGGGTGCTCTGCGAGCTTGGAACTGGGGTCCCAATGCTATGGGCCATTCAGTCCCTACACAAGCGGTGCGAGAGTTTAGTTCGCATTGCCTGCAGTAAGTCAGACTCCTTCAGGGTGGGAGTTCGACTCCGCCAGGGCTACCTGTTGTCACAATTCTGTTTATAACTTTTAAAGACAGAATTTCTTGGTGCAGCCAGGGGGCGGAGGAAGCCCGGTTCGGTGGCCACAGGATTAATTTTCTTGTATTTGCAGATGTACTTACTTGGCGTCCTCACTCCGTGATCTTCAGCTCTCACTGGAGCGGTTCACAGCCGAGTGTGAAGCGGCTGGGATGAGGATCAGCACCTCCAAATCTGAGGTCATGGTGCTCAGTCAGAAAAGGGTGGATTGTTCTTTTCAGGTCCAGGGTGAGGTTCTGCATCAAGTGAAGGGTTCAAGTATCTCAGGGTTTATGTTTGGACTGTTTTTGTCCTGTTGAGCTCTCTGAATTAGCAAAAATAATAGCTTCATCCAGACCATCAACGTGTCTACTAGATTCCACGCCAACCAGACTGTTTAAAGAGGCACTTCCCCTAATTAACATCCACATTTTGGATCTGCTTGGTTTGTCTCTAATAAATGGTTACATACCACAGAGCTTTAAGACTGTTGTAATAAAACCTTTACTTAAGAAGGAGGAGACAGGGCCTTCTGTGTTAGTGCCCCTAAGTTGTGGAACGCTCTGCCTTTGCACATTCGACAGAACCCCTCACTGTCCATTTTTAAAACCCATCTGAAAACTCATCTCTACTCGTTGGCCTTCAACCCAACTGAGATTTGATTTTACTTCATTTTTATTGGTATTGATTTTATCTGTTTAACTCGTCGTTTTATTGTGTTTTAAATTGAGTTTTTAGTTCATTGCTTGGCTTTGTAGCTTTGTTTTTATGCTCTCTTTTCTTGTTTTTAACTGATGTTCAGCACTTTGTTTCAGCTGTGGCTGTGTTAAAGCGCTCTATAAATAAAATTGATGATGATGATGAAGAAGCCTGATCTTGATTCAGGAATTCTGGCGAGTTATACACCTTCCTATATATCTAATCTAACTTTCATCTCAAGAAGTCTAGAGAAAATACAAACAGGTCAGTTACATGAAAATATGCAAAGAAATAATCTGTTTGAAGAGTTTCATTCAGGGTTTAGAGCTCATCATAGCACAGAAACAGAACTGGTGAAACCCAACAAAATTCAGTCAGGTCATCTGGATGGTTTCTTTTTGTTGAGACGTTTTGTCCTTCATCCAAAGGACTTCTTCAGTCTGAGGAGCCCCAACAAACTGAGTCCCATAAGCAGCAACTCACAACATAATGGATCTGTTTGGTCCACTATGTGAGTGATCCTCCACCTGCCTGTGTGGACCGAACTCTATGGACCCTCTTGGTTTCGCTGATTTCGTATGGTATGGTATGGTAAAATGGAATATGAAACATTTTTGTGAACAAGCATTTCTTTAGGATCTGTTCTACTTTGACTGGCATCACATATCATTAATTGACGATGTGAATCTTGCTTGGAACTATTTTCATAATAGTTCCATTCATTTAGTAAAAAAACACGCTCCACCTCGCCAGTTCAGAGTAAAGGGCCGGATCACCCCTGGTTAACCTCTGAGTTAGCTGACCTCTTGCACAGGAGGGACCAGCTTTGGCCAACAGCAACACAGACTGGTTCGTACACCCATTGGTTGTAATTTCGTCAGTTACAAAATCGCTGTACAGCTTCCATTAAAGCTGCAAAACTAAACTATTATTTATCTCAAAACTCCAAAGATCTCAACGATCCTAAGGGCTTCTGGAAAACTATTAAATCTCTTGATGGCAGCACTCACTCATCTGACCTGCAACCATAATTATTTGTCTACGCTGCTCCTGTGTCAGAGAAGCATGAGATGCTAAATTGTTTCAACAAACATTTTGTTGTCTCCAGTTCCTTGTTTAACACAGTTTCTAAGGTAAATCACCTATCACCTATGTTCCCTCCAATCTGGATTCAGGAAACAACACAGCACAATGACTGCTTCGCTAAAGGTTTTTAATGATGTTGTTGAAGCTTTGGACACTAAGGATTACTGCTGCACTTTACTTAGACCTGTCCAAACCTTTGATGCTGTAGATCATGACATCTTTATGCCACAAGCTCTCAGATATTGGCTTCTCAGATCTCACTGTTGGCTGGTTCTCAAACTATCTCTCAGGACGGAGGCAAAGTGTTCAACATAATGGTACTTCATCTAGCTACCAAACAGTCACCAGTGGTGTGCCACAAGGCTCAGTTTTAGGTCTCACTTTTTTTACATTTTATATAAATAATGCAGGTCAAAACATTCCTGACTCATCCGTGCATCTCTATGCTGATGACATTGTTGTTTATTGACGAGCTAACACAGTTGCCAAGGTTTTGCAGCTTCTACAGTCTGCATCTGACATCATTCAGTCAGACTTATTCCATCTCAAGCTGGTGATAAATGCTGACAAAACCAAAGGGAAGTTGTTTTCCAACAGAAAGTCTGTGCCAGCAACTCTTCCTCCTATCTCATCCATGCATTCAGGATTCAAGGTTCTTTATTTGTCATTACACCACATGTGGTACATGTGGTGGAACAAAGTTGTGTATACAGGGTTCCAGTTACATCCAACAAAAGTATTAAAATGTCAAAGAAAAACAGTAATAAGATCTAAGATATGAACTAAGAAAAATGTTAATAAAAATACACTAAGCACTAATAGCATAAAAACAATACACAGAACAGCAGCATGAACATGAGTCTGTGTGAGCAGATGAGTAGGAATGAACACAGCAACATGAAACAGATCAGCAGCAACATGAAACAGATCAGCAGCAACATGATGTGATTTTTTCACAGTGATTATTCTGGTTAGAGATTCATGAGTCTAACAGCCTAAGGGTAGAAGCTGTTCCTCAGTCTAGTGGTTCTACACTTAATGCTCCTTAACTTCCTTCCTGAGGGGAGTGGGGCAAAAAGTGTGTGTGCTGGGTGAGTGTGGTCCTTCATGATGAAAGGTTAGCTTCTCTCCATTGGCTCCCTGTCAAATCCAGAACTGAATTCAAAATCTTACTTCTAACCTACAAAGCTCTCAACAACCTAGCTCCATCTTATATTACAGATCTTATTGTTCCACATTTTCCTAACAGAGCACTTCACTCTCAGACTGCAGGTTTACTTGTGGTTCCTACAGTTTCCAAAAGCAGAATGGGAGGAAGATCTTCCAGTTATCAGGCTCCTCTCTTGTGGAACCAACTTCCAGTTTCTGTCCATGAGGCTGACACATTGTCCAGTTTGAAGACTGGACTGAAGACTTTCCTTTTTGATAAATCCTATAGTTAGGGTCGGCTTGGGTTTTCTGAGCTGTCCCTTAGTTATGCTGCTATAGGCTTAGACTGCTGGAGGACGAACTGACCACATGTCCTCTCTCTGCTGTCTTTACTTATTCTACTCTACCTGTTTGTATTTGTAATTATTTCTATCTTAACATGTTTTTATCTTCCTTCCTATAGAAACCACACCTGGACCTGTCATTCTGTGTTTGTCTGTTTCTACTTCCTGTCCTCTCAAACCCAGCCGGTCGAAGCAGATGGCCACTCATTATGAGCCTGGTTCTGGAGGTTTCTTCCTGTAAAAGGGACTTTTTCTTTCCACTGTCTCCTTTGTTCTTGCTCAGGATGGGAGACTGTGATGAAGTGAAGATTCAACACAATCTGCTGCTTCCTTAGTTAGAGAACTTTTATTAATTGTATTTTATAAAGTCTGTGAACGTTTTTTTTCCACTGCCCATACGACTTCTGTTGGGACTTGGAGCTACAGAAATAAACAGAACTGAAATGTTTCATCTAAAGGAATCCCCATGAATGGGCCCGATCAGAACCTGCTTATTGAAGATGAGAGCGCAGCATCAGACCTGCAGCAGCCCAGTGCTGCATTGCATCATGGGACAGGAAGTAAGAGGTCAGGTGGGACAGAAGGTAGGTCATACCTTGTAGTCTGGAGGGATCTGAGCACCGAAGCCGAACGCCGGGAACATTTTGTCACTGAAGGCAGGAAGAGGGACAAAAACAAGTTACAGGTGAAAATGAGGAGAGTTTGTTACAAAGAAACACCTTAGAGGGAAGTTTCTGTTTAGAAGGTAAACCTGAAGAAAATCTTTATTTTAGTTGGGCTAAGTGTTATGTGCACGGCAGCATGTATGTGACATGGTGTTAAAGGTCAACAGAACCTGATCAGGAGTCAGAACTTTTCAGGCTTTAAATAAACAAGATTTAATTATATATATATTATCACAAATTAGTACATTTTACTGCAAATGTTTTGATCAAATACCAAAATGGAATCCTTTGTCTTAATGGACCGAGCATGTGATTGGCTGCTGTTTGGACCCACCTGTCGTAGTCCTGGCAGATCTCCCCCACAGCCACCAGTGCTTTCAGGTACTCGTTGGGCTGGTATGGGTGGATATAGTGCAGCGAGCAGCTGTTTCGAGGGTCACCGTTTGAAGCTGTGAAGTCTATGGCAACCTGCAGGAAACAGAAGTTTTCAGAATCCAAAACCAGGAAACAGATCAACAAAACAAAGAAACCAGCAGAAAGACTCAGAATCCCTCATCAGAACCAAACAGGTCCACGTCCGAGGAAAAATGTGTAACTGTTCCGTTTACAAAAATAAATGAACGGAGTGAAACCTTCAGTTTCCTGTGGAGACGGGGTTCTGTTGGCTGATGCAACAGAACCACAAGAACCTCTGACGTCAAGTTTATCATCGTCCTCTCTGTTCTTTGAGGCTCTTAAACATCTGAGGATGGTTTCAGAGAGACAAAACTGTCGTCTGCAGGAAACAGTCAATGAAACATTTAGATGTTCAGCAGCTGAGAGGAAACATCTGCAGCCTGGATACGTTTACATGAGTTAACATCCAGAACGCTCCGAGACCAGAAAGAAGGCTTCAAGACATGAAGAACGCTCCGAGACCAGGAAGAAGGCTTCAAGACATGAAGACCGCTCCGA